ACTTCTTCAGAAGAACCTCTACTTCTTCAGATGCATCTGAAGAAGTGAGGTTCTTACCCACGAGAGCTTATGCTCCCAGTACTTCTGTTAGTCTCAAAGGTGCCACAGGACCCTCTGTTGCTTTTTACACATTCTGCATGGAGGTTAGTGTGCTATAACTGAATATACAGCTGATTAACAAAATGAAAATAAAGCACTGGAATATTTATATAACTTAAAATTGAAATCTATTTGATGGGCTTCTATTGCATAGGGCAAAACCAATTGCTAAGGTTTGAAAGACTCAAGCGCCATCCAAGTCAATGACGTATGGAACTGTCTTCCACAATGATCAGTCTCATGCATTCACACCCAGATTGGATACGTGTATTACTAACTTTTTACACTCCTCTTCTGTCAGTACAGACGAGCATGTATTACACGATAATGTGACCATTAAACTGCATGCTTTAATTTTAAAAGAACAAAATGCTCAGTGGCTGAAATCCTGGCCTCATTGCAGTCAGTGGGAGTTTTGCCACTGACTGCAGCGGGACCAGGATTTCACTCAGTCTGTATATGAAAACATAAGATCTTTATATCCCACTTCTCCTCTGCACTCCCCTTACTGAATACAGAAGGCATGGAAGACCAGAGCAGAGAAAAATATTTTCCTAAATCTAATGGATTTAACATTTTAAATCACGTCATTACCAGCCGAAGGAATTCCTGTTTTTTCTAGACACATCTGATCTTTGTTACTGATTCCTTCCAGCTGCTGTTTCTCTCCATCCTGTACAGAAGCCCATCCCATGTCACTCCCAGATCCCATTTCCTTTCCCTCCAAAACTCAAACTTCCCTGCCAATATGTCTGGAGTTGAAACATTTTACAATTAGGTTGCATCTGTACTAAAAGGGTGAGGGTATGACGGAATGGATCATACCAGCATCATAGCTTCCATTTTTCCATCGAATGTTTCCAAGTTGCCAGCTAATTGGAGTGTTGATGGGGTGAATGGGGATTCTGATGGCTGAGCATCTGGGTGAATGTTTCTCCTTTGCCAATATGGTTCCATGGGTTTTGGTTATGTAGTTGGAAGGTACTTGCAGGAATCTGAAGGCAACTGTAATATTCTACATTTTCATTTAAGACTTATAATGGAACAAATGTGGGGAACTGGTGAATAGACTGATCGCTATAAGACACTTAAAAAGGAATTTAGAAAATCTAACACATATATGAGCCAGGCTTTAATGATATCAATAGTATTTTCTGTTCCCTGTTTAGCAACCAAAAAAAAACCCCAAAACAATACCCCACAGTTCTTTTAGCAGGACAGTTCCCTGCCCCCTATGGATAGACTTGAGCTGCATTATATACTATTATGCTGTGTGCTAGAAGTATGGGAGGGGAGCAAGGAACCATATGCTAAATATTATGCTTGCTCAGTCTTTCAGCCTGAGTATAGGCAGATGGTGCCTTCCTTTTCATGGAAATGGTTTTGACAATTTTCTCTCTCAAATCCAAAAATCTTTTCCTGTACATGATCTGATTACTATAATTAATCTTGATATTTTACTAGGTTTTTTCCCCCTCTTGCAAGTCACCTATTTTTAGAAGAGTGTTTTTACTTGTGTGCACATAACTTTCATTTAAAGCATAATGCAACTGAGGGAGACACTAGAGTGACTTCTAACAGCTGAGCAGTTTTTTATGGGTATTTCCCATATACACAAAGACTGCAATGGAGGTATCTCAGATACCATTGTGTGGCACCTGTACCTAAACAGTGACTTCCTAATGGTGACCAGAGCTGATTGAATACTATTTGTTCCATGATATTTGGCTAATATCCCTATTTCTTAATTGAAAAATCATTGTACCCTGTTTGATAAGTTCTAATAGTGACTGCTGCAGTGTCATTTTTTCCCCTCCCCCCAAAATACTCTGAGTGTCGCACCTTGTAGCATTAGGGATGTAGTTAGTCAGTGCGAGAGTGTTGCCAAAAACCATCTAGCAATTACACAGTACAGCACTGCCGGCAAACCTCTGTCCTAAGATTTTTTTTTTCCAAATGTAAACATAGTAACACCAAAAGAATGGCCCAGTGGTTAGTGTGCTGACTTGGAACTCAGGTGGTAGAGGTTCAATTCCCTGCTCCCCCACATAGTTTCTGTGACTTTGGGCATGTCACTTAATTCCAGAGCCTCAGAAGTATTTAAGCACCTAACTCCATGGGTGTTAGGTGCCTAAAAACTTTCAGGTATGTCTACACGGCAAAGAAAAACCTGCAGCTGGCCCATGCCAGCCAGCTTGGGCTGCAGGGCTGTTTCATTGCTGTGTGGACTTCTGGGTTTGGGCTAAAGCCTGCGGCCTCCCACCTCACAGGGTGCTCCAGCCCGAGCCCAGAAGTGCACACAGCAATGAAACAGCCCCACAGCCTGAGCCTGAGCCTGAGTCAGCTGGCACGGGCCAGCCACGGGTGTCTAGTTGCTGTGTACACATACCCTTTGGAGGGCTTTAGTCTCTCTCTGCCTTCATCCTCCATCTGTTTAGAGATATTGGGATTTACATCCTTCCCTTACCAGGAGTGTCGCAAGAATAAATATGTTAAAAATAATGCGATGTGGCCATGTAAGTACCTAGATAGAATTGATTACCCAGTAAATATGATGACCACATGCTTTGAATACAGGAGGCCAAACCTTCCTTAGGTCGATCTACTGGGTGTAGAGTTTCACTTATGAGCACAGACACCCTGTGATGTGGAATAGTCTTTCTTTAATAGAGCTTCACTAAAATGAATGTGGGAGGACAAAGAATGGGCAATAAAACTAACTGATTCGGGTAGAACCCGGACACCTCCTTTGAAAGGCGAATGTGATGGTTACCCCTCCTTAGTTTTATGTAACGTAACACAGGGTGGATCGTTTGCTGATGAATGATGTTGCCAGAAAATATTCCTTTCACCTGAATAGTCTGAGGCTGCAAGGTCCAGTCCCTCAAAACAGGCCTTTTCAGGTTAACCAAAAGCAAGTCAACAAATATTTCATAACCAGGGAGACTCTTCTGGCCTCTTTATATAAATGGCTTAAAGGGGATTACTCTTTTAACAAACTGGACACCACTGAAGTTGTCACGATTGTAGTTTATATATGAAAAGCAAGACAGAATGGGCTATTCTTATAGAGAATAGATGGAGACAATAAAATTATGATTATAAGGAAGGCATAGAGATGTTCTGGGTGTTTGAGGGACGTCCCCCTTCCCCCAATCAGTAATGTAAAACTATATGCATTGTTTGGAAACCACAAAGAGGTTTTGGGAAACTTTTATCTGATATTTCTAAAAGGGAATGTTTCTCTAGCAGGAGGTGGTGAGAGAGAGTGAGAGGTGGAATCCTAAATCTGCTCTGGAATTGGATCCAGGTCCCAGGAAGGAAAACTCTCTGATATTACATGATCATATCAGCCCCCAGGTATCATTTTGATAAGACAACTATTTCCCTCAGAAGTGACTATGACAATTCTTTAATCTCTCTCCTTGCTTTAACATGATGTGCTAGAATAACTGATTTAAAATGTGACTGATTAAGTTGCTTTTCTTCTGACTAAAAGTGGAATGTGGCCATTACCCTTACTGTGGCTTTCTCTTCTTCCAAGATGGCAAGTTTCCAATTAAAAGATTATTTGTAAGTAAATTTACTCAGGGTGACCCTTGGGAGGAGAGAGCCTGCTCGCTACTCCTTGATACATCTTGTTCCTCAGAAAGTGCTTGTTCCTGACTAGTTAACTAGGAATTAGGAAGTTGTCCTCTGTTTCCAGAAACAGCATGGTTTGTCCTGTTTTCGCAGATTTATTTGCAAAATCTATTGTAGAATGTATAGGCGTATTACTACTCCCGCCTGGAGTCTGTTTCTTGTACATTTACAGCACTGGATTTCCTCTGCTTCAGGATGTTTTCCCTGTCAATACTGGCTTCTGCAGTATGAAAGGTTTTGGAATGGAAGTGTAGCCTTGGTCCCTTCACAGCTGCATTTCTTGCCAGTGTTAGTTGGAAAGAGCAGAGGAGCCTGGAAAGTTGAATAGTTGTTGAGTTCTGTGTTCTCAGTCAAGCCAGAGATTCTTGAAATGACTACCGCTAGGTGTCGTGGCTTTCAACTGAGGAAAATAGTTTGTTTCTGTAGGGCACCTCATCCCAAGCCAAACCATCAGAGAGGCCAGTCCCACTGAGTGTGATCCATATCTGCTGACTAATCTTTGACCTGCTACACACCTTACGCTAAGTATTTTTGGTGAGGAATCCAGAATAGTGATTTCAGTGTTTGGAGTTGAAGCAATATACAGATAAAAAAGAATATGGGACCCTACAAATGGCTACAGTGCAATGAAATTAGAAATATTAAAGTGAGCAATAATAATAATGCATTTTGAGTGGACTCCATACAGGAAAAATGAGCCATCAGAGAGGTAATAAGTATTATGCTACTTTTTTCAGAAGGTGTAAATATTTGGGTACTTTTTAGACGTTGGGAGAAGTG